GCACACACACACACACGCACACACACACACGCACGCACACACACACACGCGCTCATCTCTTTAGCTACCTTATAATATCAAAAAGCGATAACATGCAAACCATGGATTAAAATCAGTCGTATAGTGAGGTAATATCACACCTATTATGCGATTTTTTACAGCATTTAACAGGAACAAATGCAGGATGTTTAGTTAGAAGGGGCGCATTTTTACATCATCGTCATTGTCGCACTGCATATACATGTATAGGTAACTACGGTTTTAGAAAGGGCGCTACTTCACTGATAAACATGAGTTTTCAGCTGACGGAAAAAAGTACAATATTTATGAGAACATGCAAATTATACTATTGTTTGAGACTGCACATCGGATATCTAAAACACTTATGCACCAAAATGCACTATACATCGAAACACGAGCAGCGTTGAACCATTATAGTTCTAAATTTCCTTTATGTGACGTGGTCAAAAAATACGCCCTAGTTTCTGATGTGTGATATGATAAATGGCAAGTGTTTTTGTGAAATACCCGAGCATTGTATCCGACCTAATATTGAAATCAGCAAATACGACTATCGTTCTTGTGACTCAAAAGATCTATGGTATGTTTAAATTTATTCTAGAAATTTACACGTGTGTCAGTAAGTAGTTCAATTCTGGAGAGAGGCCGGAGAATACAACTTCCCAATAAATTGCGCCCTCTAGTAAAAACGCTTGTTACTTCAACATGACGTAGATGGCATGGTTCAGTTATAGCTCGTCATACAGAACATATTATGTCTTCAAAATTACAAATTTTATTGACAGGCAACTACAGGTCAAATCAATATCTATGATAAGAACGTCATTCTGATCACCCATTACGTTACAGAATCGTTTTGTCGCTAGAGGGCGCCAAAACGAATTTAAAATGTACTCACGCGAGAAGATCACCAGCTTCGTGAGACTCGTACACGTCGCAATGGTGCAGTGGTTTAGCAGGGTACTCGCCAGCAGCCTCGCATATGGCTTCGTGGAACTGAAATTGCAAAATGTGACTCACGAAGTACCTACAGTTGAAAAACATACATACTTAATAATTAGACGACACGATAAGACGACACTTATGACTCGTTTGCGACTTTTTCGCGAGATTCCCGAGTCCATTGAGTTGTCCACGCGACTATCACGCGCCAAGACGACCTGGCGAGAATAGCATTCATAGCTCTTTGTGGTTTTGTTCGCTTATGTGATACAAGTAGACCACTTTTCCGGGAGTCAAAGATACCGCGTTTTAGTTGTATGCGCGCCCGCCAAAACATGCACGCGTGATATTGTGCTTCAGAATGTACCAATCGACGCCACAAAAATATAATTCCCTTCTATCGAATATCACTGAGCAAACTGACATGTTTGTATTTTCCGCCATAACAAAGCAGGCGTATTCTGCACCCCAGTCTTGCTACTTTCGGGAAAGTGGTCCGTAGAAAGTGAAATCTTGCAGCAAGTTACATCCAACATACTGTGTCTGAGAAGGAGGTTTTAGTTTTCGGCGTTCGAAACTCTTACTAATTTTTAGTTTAGTTCGCCGTCGACTCTTTTCATTGGTTGCGTTTAGTTGCTTGTGCACGATTAGTAAACACTTCATAAAACATACCACAACACAACACGACATGGCATGACGCAATAAATACTAGTAGTAACCAAAATTCGTAAACAACGACACTAACCTGATGTAGGGAACGTCGGCCGGAACGTGGTATTTTGCGCCAGCATCAAAATCACCCGCCAAATCGGAACGTTTGACTGGCTCCACCACACCCTGAATACCAGTTCTGAAACAACCGGGCACATGACGTATTTGTTAAATAACAACTTCATGATGATGACGTCAGTCAAGACAATTCCGCGAAAAATTAAAAGTTGAATAAATCAAAGACGCAATGGGCGCCGAAATCCCGCTGAGAGCGAGAGAGCGACGAGACTTGTTTTGCACCTTGAATGGTGTTCCTTTTTTCAGTCATCGCGTCTTCTATTTGTCTGGTATATGTTCATTCTCCTTCCCAGAGTTCCTTGCGGTTAGATCACCGAAAGTATCTCTGCCACCACACACCGCCATTTTACTTTTACTACGCCTATTTGTCTCACCTCATATGCCACCACCTTTCATTATAGTTGTATTCAGTAATGGTGCCGTCAAAGATTTCCCATCTCCAGAGGTCAATGAGTAAACCGAAAGGCAGGAAAGCTACTTTCTGCAAAGCCATCGACATCAGGTAATTCAGATCCGACTCTAGAGAAATGAAATGAGGACATGGTTTGTTATTTTCCGTCCCAAAGTTAGGAGCAAATATACACACTAAACACATTCAACAATCTTAACGCGAACATGAAAGGGAGTGTTCCACATTCCCTGTAATATAGCGTCCAATATTCGAAATATGATGGTTAATTAACCCATGCTAAGGGAGATGCTACTAGTATTTCGTTTTGTGTGCATTTCAATCATGATTGAGAGAAATTAGCGAAATATGGGAGTGGTAGTAACGGAAAGCATGTGTAGAGTGGGCTTTTTTTCGAGACACGACCAAGGGGACCCGTTTATCTGTGCAACAGTCAAAGTCATCATCTTTGTTCATATGAGACTCGTGTCCCGCACATGCTTGGCGCGACGACCACCACCCTAGAATTTTGTTTGGAAGTCTTCAAAAAATAATACGTTATTCCTACCCCGAAAAATGATTCGCAAAGAAAATTGAGCCATACATTCGTGCCTTTGAAAACCACTTTAATTACAAGTTTGAAAACTTCAATGACTGGATTTCACCTGATTTGTACCTTGGATGTATTGTTAACATCGTTGGTTCACTTGGCTCAGTAAGGAAACGCGGTGTCTAACAGGCTTGCATCCGAATGTGCCAGATTAGATTTTTAGGAGATTTAATTAAAATATGTACCAGGCCAAATACAATGTCCAAGGAGGCTCGGGTGCATTTGATTGTCACTCGCTTGAACACTTCCTTGTTGCATCTCTTGTTATCGCCTTTATTTATTATTCAAACATTATATTAAAGCGGAGGAGTCGTCACCTACGCATGCGCCAGGTGGCCATAGCGTGTCATTGTTTACAAACAAGCGTCTACCCATGAGCCTTTGCGTTCATAGCGTGTGTTATCGTCGCTTGGGATTCAATTCTCGCGCATGCGCAGGTGACAACCCTTCCGCATTAATATGTAGTTACTTGTTGTTCCAAATATGCAAATTATTGTGATGTGACAGACTCCAATATGTCACTTGCCAGCATCATTTGCTGGTTAATTCTTTAAGACTGGTTGTTCTGAAGCCTTACTAAGCCGAGAAAACTAACTACTCCTAAAGGTTCTTGCCATTTGTAACAGAAGAAACTAGACCGAGAACATGTTACAGTGGACGGGAAACTTTCAATTGGATGCTTGTGATGTACTACTATACGGAGGAACTCTGACGTCATAGTCACAGCCTTCCCGTTACCTATTTTCAACAACGTGACTTGATGGCTGAATAATTCTACCGCATAGTAAAAACAATATCACACAACAATTCCTCAATATTGATGAAGCGACCGACCTACCCTGATCTTGGACAAGTTCCGGTAGTAAACCAACCTCGTAGAGATGTTCCGGTGTCTGGACAGACAGAGATATGGTGTCACCGAGCGCCTCGTGGAAGCCATTGTTGGCGCCATCGCGGTATTCAACGGGCTGTGGTGCGTATTGGTAGTAATACTGAGTGTGTCCCATCTCGTGATGAATGGTGATCAAATCCTCGTGATTTACACGTGTACACATCTTGATTCTGTCAAATATGCCGGGAAAAATTAGACCTAGCGACCGATGACGTGACGTCATTTAATGCGGTAAGGTGCCAAGATGAACTCGGTCAAATATGGTGAATACAATGCGCATGCGCATACAATGGTCTAATTAGTGTGGACAACCTCGTTTTGAAAAACACTAGCGCGCGCATTGCATAAATAAATACGATTCGCGGCGCTAAACTTCTTAGGTTGTGGTTCGTTTTAGATTTTATTATCGACGAATCGTATGCGCAGATGAGATGGGACACACTACTACCAAGTGACGTACCATTATACTTCCGTACCTTTATGGTAACCATCTGAATAGGTTGTGCACTCTCAGCCCCGTGACCAGACTCAAATTTTAGAAACGACGCCCACATTTGCGAAAGGACCCCAAATTATAAGTCGATATTCCACTAGGAGTTGACCAAACATCAAGTCAGGGCAACATAGATTGTTTTTTGTTGTCTAACGTTAACATTTAGCAACTCAAAATTTTCACCAAAATTTCAACCAAATATCCTCGGGGGCGGAGCTACGTCACAGACGTTCCACGTTGCTAAGACGCGCACCACTGTACCATGCATTTCTATGGGCTCTGTGCGCGCTGCTGTGGAACGCCGGTCGAGCCGGTGAAAATTCGAGAAAACGACACAAACTCAACTTTGAAGTAATCCATAACAATCAAATTTATATATGTTACACACGTAGGGCTAATCTTGTTGCACTGTTCAGAGGAGTCTCAACAATCACCCCAAAGTACCGTTTTCTGTGAGTTTTGGGCCTTTGTTTTCACCGCCGTGGGTTGCCAGGCGGTGAAAATGCCCGGATGTCCGCCCCCGAGGATTGAGTTATTGGCGACCTATGGTAGATTTTTTAATCTCTTTGTGACCACCCGGTATGATTGTCTGTTTCAACCTTTGATCTTAGTCATTTGTGAAAGCTTAAACTAAAAAAAATCTAGATTGCCTGTAACTGTTTTCTCTAATCTGTTAGTTGAATATCAAATTGTAATATTGTGTGGTTTCGCAGAAGAGGGTGTGGTTCCTAAAACTACGCAAAGGGTTGCAATAACATTGTAACTAGAAATAACTGGATTTCTATTAAAATGCATGCTGTATCCTTGGCAACAAGCTCACCTTGATCTTGGACAAGTTCCGGTAATAAACCGACTTCGTAGAGATGTTCCGGTGTCTGGACAGACAGAGATATGGTGTCACCGAGCGCCTCGTGGAAGCCATTGTTGGCGCCATCGCGGTATTCAACGGGCTGTGGTGCGTATTGGTAGAAGTACTGAGTGTGCCCCATCTCGTGATGAATGGTGATCAAATCCTCGTGATTTACACGTGTACACATCTTGATTCTGTCAAATATGACAGACGAGTTTAGATGCATGAATGCACAACTACAGCCGAGGACAGAATAACGTGTATATGCGTGTACGCTGAAATTCCGGATACGCGTTTCGAATGACGTCACTAGGCAATACGTTACGACGACGTTCGATTGGGAGGAACAAATGAGTGCACGAAAACTAATATAGTGGCATTTCAATGTATTCTCAAGGACATCGCGCGTTCCAGGGAATACACTTCTCCAAGATATAAAACAAATCACCGAAAATCAGAGAAACGTAAGGCAGTTTGGGTTTACCCAAGCGTTTTTCTAATTTCATGCGCGCAATTTGAATTATTGTACAATGTGTAGACAACGCGCGCGTGCGTGGCAATCGTTTCAATAGTCGGAACAACCATGCGATTCTGTCCTCGAGTGTAACGTGCTAAATGGTTTTTGCAGATGACACGTGGTACAGGATGATGGTACAATGTGGTTTACACTATGGAATTGTAAAGGTAATGTACATTTAATAATATCCGAGGTCTATAAACATGAACTTGAATATACAGTGAAAGTCATGAATCTAAGAATGTTTTAAACCTTTTATAAATATATATTTGTAAAAATCAAAATGACTGGTAGAATTCAAATTGACCAATCCAGAAACGATATGACGACATCATCGGGAGTTCTATTTAATATTAATGAGTTAGTTCAACATCACCAATTAGCAAGTTATACATTTTGAATAAGTGCGCAGTCGCAGTTGCTACGTCACTTGCAGGTTTGCGCGCGCATTATGGACGCGGACTATGTGAAGCTCTCGGGCCAAATTGGAAGCTGATGATCGGTAATTACAAATTGTTTAAAAATATTTTTATAAACCAAATACTGCTTTCACAGTGCTGAACGGTTTTAGTGTTTTGATGACATCCAGTATTTGAAACAGCCCAAAGAAGGGTCATAGGTTACAATGATGACGCATAGTCGGGTGCGTATAACGATGTTCAAACCACTCAAGTCATTGGGAAAACGACAAAGAATGTGATGTCGTCCGAACCACCCAAGTCATTAAGAAAACGAAAAATGATGTGATGACGTCATCTTCAGGAAGTAAGGCTATAAGAAAGGCATAGTTACAGACGTCTGGCGTGGCGACGTTAATAACACCGTGAGTTTTTTAAACATGTATGTTTTAACAGTAAATATACAACAAATCATCTTGAACATATAGGAAGCAAGTGTACAGATAAGGGATTGACCATTGACAATTTTGAGTGTGTATGATGGAAAAAAAATAATGCAGGGAACAATAACAAAATACTGTATGCCTAAATCTTGGTGAAAAAAACATTCTACGAAGTGTAAAAATAACTTATACTAGCATTATGGGGAAATAGCATAACACTATTTGAAGAAAACAATTATTAGATGGAAGACAAATATTTCCGATAATATTTATCACACTAGTACTTTTGCTTAACCCAATCTTTCTGACGTCATAACAATGCATTGTGGGTATATCAATATTTAATACCTGAAATCTTTCCTGTTGAAAAAATCCCACGCTGAAGCATGGCACGTGACCTCTCGTCCATCATCTGGTTTTTCAAACATGGAATCCTCCCAGAAACTCTGTGGCGATGGAATCAATCCCATGGATACAAAGAAATCTTCTGATAGTTGGAACATCTGCAGAGCATCGTAACCCTGTAAAATACACAGTTCATATAAATGCGCCCTCTAGCGACTAATCGTATCGGTAAAACGATTCATAAGTGCGCCCTCTGGCGAAAAATTGCAACGGTAACGCTCAGTTGGCTGGTTTCCGCCTCAGGTGTCATGGCGAACCAAGCCACAAGAGGCCGGTAACGAGTAATGAATCCGGCATTCTGATTGGTCAATCACTTTCTTGTTCCTTGTTATATTTCCCTTGGTTACCTGACGTCAGCGTTTACGCTCGTGGCCCGAGACCATGGGTTTCCTTTTCCTCTCGAAAGTTGGGTTTCTTTTGTTATAAATTTGCACAGAAACAACGAGAAATGCCAGAAACATCTCAAATATGCAAGTCTGGGCAGACAGAATGTATGAGCATGGCTTTATTGTAGTATTATAGACACGTTTACGCAAAGCGAAACTTGGAATGTTTTCAAATTATGTAACACAGTCACGTGCGGAAAACCGGCCCAGTGGAACAATATGGCGATTACCAGTTACCTGCGTTCTACTTGCCATTCGCAGGGAACGCCGGGAACCAGCGAATAACGTAGAAGAAATAAAACGATTCATAAGTGCGCCCTCAGTATAAGGAAATAACATTTCCTAAACTACAGGATTAGTGTAATTCTCTTCCCATTTTGAAGTATTTTTTCTATGACGTTATATGTGCTTGCTGTGTTTGATTAAATTGGGTTATATCGCCCTCTATGGTTGAATTGTGTAAATATTTGGGCAGATGTGAATAAATAGTTCTCTTAAATGTTTAAGCCTTGCGTAAGGTGATTTTTTTATTTACTTAAAACAGCTCACAAACTTTGCAGATTTAATCAATTCGTCAACAGTTGTATTGGTGGTAAACACGCTGACCAGAACATTATTTTAAGCCTCAGTTACCATTTTTAGATTTTCACTGAACTCGACTGTGGGGCGAAGTTCAGAATACGATTTTCCTTCAGGCGCTTCAGAGCACACTGAATGTCTGTGTTGTGTATTTGTGACCGAACTATGAACAAACGTATTTAAAGTTTCTGAACGAGTCTATATTATCACGAACACTTACCTGGTTAATTAATTCGTCTGTAACATCAATGGATGAAGCATTAGGGAATGGTAACACGATGTCGCTGATACTCATCCAATCCTGTGCCCACATATTACCTACAAAAAGAAATAATAATGTCAGAAGATGGTTTACATTGACTATTAAGGTAGAATCCTACTCATCCGGTTAATTTAAGGATATTGACTTAAAACAAAGTTGGGGTCATCTGATTAATTTCCCCAAAAATGATGTTTTTATTTTAGTGAATAATGGCATTTCGGCAATGTTATAGTGTTTTACCATGGGTTGCTATGGCAGCGATATTATACCATATCTCAAATTGTAGCCTGGTGACATATTGTCAATGATGGGGTACTTTTTGTTTCCCTCAATTATTTCAAAACACTGGGTTTTAAAAAGTGCCAAAAAATGCAATTTTTCTTTAACACTGTGTTCTATGGAATTGTTCTAAAAATAGCATTTTTTGCAAAATAATAGGACAAGTTACCCAAAATACGTCACTGTAACACACAAAAGAATGCTAAGTCGGTTTCGCGTGGGCGCGGCCAATCAGAATTGGCGTAACTTACCGTAATGAAATAAAACAAAATGGCGGGTTGTCGAACCAAGGTATTCTCGGACCTACTTCAAAGAAAGTTCTATGCTGCTAAGACGCGCACCACTGTACCAAACTTATTTTCTTAGACTTAGAGACTTAGAAGTTCTGTATGGCATCAGATTAGTTTTGGCGGTACCACTTTCGCGGATGCCCTGCGGTGTTTGGTGCTGGTGGTTGTTTCGGCAAAGCGCGATGCCATACAGACATATTTGTTCACTTATTGATTAATAAGCTATATTTAACACCGATTTGTATTAACTTTCATATTCATTTCTTTAGTTATTTATCAATTTGGTTAGTTAATCTTCATATTAATATACTTATTTTTGGCCCTCTACTATATACGTTATAATTTACTTCCAATGTATATAGGAAATCAGACTAGACTAGCAGTAAGCTATTTTCTGATTTCCTTTTTACCCAATATATATGTGTATTTTTCTTACCATTTGTTTTTTTGTATGGCTTACTTTTTTTTGCTTTGTTTTGTTTTTTCAGTGTTTCTTATTGTTATTATTATTATTATTGGGTAAATAAATAAATATTGTATATTATATTATGTATTTCTATGGGCTCTGTGTGAGCTGTTGAGGAACGCCAGTCGTAGAGCCGGTGAAAACAGCAAAAGTCGAGGAAGACAGCACAAACTCAACTTTAATTTGAAGCAATCCTGAGCAATAGAATGTATATATGTAATCTTCTTCCAACGTTCGGATTTGTTTTAATATCAGTACATCAGCCAGTAAAAGGCCACAAATTGTTCTGACATTCCGTGACATGACCTCTAACTTTGACAGATACTTAATATATTACTATTAAATTTACTCACCGGTGATGTGTGCCGGGATGGCTCCGGTTAAACTAACGTGTTCTGTTCCATAAACCCCGCTCAACTTTCTTCGTACGTATGCATGTAACTGCTCGTACATAGGCAACACTTCGTCCCACAGTCTCATTACTTCAGCCTCGAAATCTTCCATTTCATACCAGGATCGCCAGAAGGCACCCATGTCCGGTTGGTCTAGAGACGATGAGACAATAAATCATAATGTAGTTATTAGGTATAATACTTAACAGACCTTTGAAGCAAATGACTGCCGAAATCTCGCCGAGATCTCGGCGGCCATTTGCGTGAAGCATTAGCCCCAAGTTACATTCCAACATAATAATGACTCACAGAGCAAAACTCCAAATCCAGAGATGACGTCATCATTGTTCACCTCTCAGCAAACCACATGAAGATATCGAACTCGCAATATTTTAATTGTTGTCGTCAAAGAAACCAATGCTCCAATAAAGTGAACGAGATCATCACATCTTTTGAAACCTGAGACAACATCGGCGAGAAACCTACCACCTGATTCAAGTCAGTGACGTCGTACAACGTCAATAACTCTTAATCTAAGAGTGCATTCCAATGAGTGAATAGAAAGTGACAAATTAAATTCCAGGGCATCAAATAATAGTGAAAGTTCAAAACAGTTGATTTCAATAATTGATTTAATTGGAATGATTTTGTGAATAAAATCATGAATGTAGGCACCTTTATGTAGCTAGTTGCATTTACTCCAAGACAAGTACATTATTTTCAAGTTAAGTTGTAAGTTGGATGTAGCACGCAGCCACGTATGTACATTAAACCCAGTCGAAAAGTTGAAATGACCGCCAACCTTAATTCATCTGCTATTCATTGGTGAGATGTTCACTTTAGAAGTTTTTAAATTATTATCAGCGAATAACGGTGGGCGAATATGATGTGGGTCTATTAACACAAAATTCGAAAGCGTGCAGCAGGACGACTACTAGTATAATGCTTTAAATGGCCACACGCGTAATGTTGAAACGAGCTGTTCCATTGGCTAATTCACATATACCGTTGAAACGAGCTGTTTTATTGGCTAATTCTTAATTATCGTTGAACAGATCTGCTTCATTTGATACTTTACATATACAATTAAATAGAGCTGCTCCATCGGCTAATTCACATATATCGTTGAAACGAGCTGTTTTATTGGCCAATTCATACTTACCGTTGAAACAAGTTGCTTCATTGGCTAATTCACACTTACCGTTCAGAAGAGCTGCTTCGTTGGATAATTCAACATATCTCGGGTACATTGGTTTCATGGGAGGACCACATGTATCACGCCATCCTTCCCATGCCCATACCAGTTCACTCCAGTTGCGACTATTGGCCATTACGTCATACAGATCTGTTCGATAGCACACACATACAAAATAGTTTACTTATGCTATTCCATATGATGTACAATTGCCCAATGTATCATTTGCATTAAACACAATATCAACGTTCAATGGCGGTGGTCGTCGCGATGCGTCCTGTTCGATATGGGACTCATAGCGACGTACACGACACGTGTAAAATACGTTGTTTGTTTATATGAAATTTGAAGAGGCGCTGCGCGACTACCACCACCCCTTCATCAATGTCTCAAAGCGTATAAAATAATGTAATACTATAACATTTGATCATTTTTCATTTAAGGGATATCCGTTTCGACTGTTTCAGTAATTTATACGTTCACGATCATCGCAGCGTTATTGCGTAAGTTTGCAACACTAAACATCACATGTGGTGTAGTTATCGTGATGGTTATTATATAATTATTTGGTTGCTTTGATTGCAGCTCGTTGGTGAAGTGGGCAATAAGTGGGCACCGATAAACTGTGCGATTCGGACGATGGTCTGTCTGTAATCTAGGCAAGGCAAGTGGCGTATTTGATGACTTGAGTGTACTAATTTGTGTAATGCCAAGATCAGGAAAATCATCGGTTTGAAAGATCTTAGATTGCAAATGGCCGCCGACATCTCGTTGAGCGCGAGAGCGCCACGACTCGTGATTTTGTCCCAGAAATACTAGTACTATAGAATTTCAGTCTCCCCGTCATCCCGTCTGCTTTTATATTGAATTGTGTATCCGATCACAGTCCCTCAGGACTGTGCATGGTATTTGGAGCATTATTCAAGAGGGAAAAACAAGTATCGTGGCTCTCTCGCGAGATCTTGGTGTACTGCACGCTGTGCCCGAAATCCCATTGTTAATGTGTGGTATACCGTACAATACCGTTTGTTCTCGGTGTAGTTTACATAGTTCATAAACGCTTTACGAGCTGGTTACCGCGACTTGATGACGTCATAAACGCAATTACACGCATGCGCACCGGTACCAGACACCCATGCACGGTGGACTGTTCGCATTCGACACTGGAACCAGTACTAACCTGGGTCCAATGGGTAACATGCATCTGGATTTGGATCCCCTGGTTTGTCACATACCTCACCAGTGTTGTAAATAGCCGACATGTCAGCAACTATTTGGTTAAACTAGAAAGTAGTTCAACATTAGTAGCTCCATTATACAACATACCACAGGCTTTAGAGAATGGGGTTAAACACTTTTCCTTTGATATTATGTAGCATGTAATTTGATATACATTGAAAATGCTACTTAAGTCAAGTTTTGAGAAAAGCATCACGTGTTATCTTTGAATTGAAAATTAAGTTATGTTCGCCATACTTTCTATACTTTCTATGAGCTCATGCCACCGGGATACCGAAAATGAAAAAAATGAGGTCACCAGACATTTTTAGAGATAAAAAATAGAGTCCGAATGGTCATGAAAACTAGTCAACATTATCATTTTGACACTGGTTTCTAAAACCAAAAGGTTTTATTCATGGAATGAAATTGTCATTTTTGACATGAATAATATTTTGGAAATATTTCAAAAATCGACATATAATTTAGTTATTTTTTACTGCCATAGTAGTTGTTTTCTATAATATACATTGTATACGGCTCAAAACGCCCCAACTTACCTCATCGAACTTTTCATCATCCAGCGCCGCTGCACCGATATAGATGAGGTTCTCTAATCGTCTGTTTGTATCAAATGTGAAATCAGTTCTGTCGAATACCAAAGCACACGTTCGCATGTCCCTGTCAAAACCACCAGCGACGGATATAGCATCTAACTGATAGAAAAGAAAATAGCACGATATTAAAGCGCAGGGGGTAGTCACCTGCGCACGCGCGGGAATCGAATCCCAAACAACAATAACAAGGCATGCTGAAACGCAAATGCTCATGGGTAGACGCTTGTTTGTAAACAATGACACCCTATGGCCACCTGACGCATGCGCAGGTGACGACTCCCCGCTTTAAGCCTAGTCTGAGTTAATGATAAGGTGAAAAGATGTATCGCTATATCACGATAAAACAGCTGCTGATGTTGAGTAGTTTACTCAACATACGTGTGTGCGTACATGATCTGTTTTTTTTTACAGCGACTCAACAAACCCCCTCTACCATATTGTAATAGACATTTCACGATTGCTACACTTTAGATGTGAACAAATGTTAGAAAATAATTAACGAATTTACATATTTGCAACTTAAATATATTCAAAAATAGACAAATAGTATAATCAATGTTATGCAGCGTTAAAGATATGATTTGAATATACTTTTGAATATACCGTCGTTGGTAGCTGCATGCGCATATTCAAACTGCCATACGTTAATTAATTAAATGTTTTGGATTCGTTAAAAACGCGAAACTTTCACGAATTTTGGAGTGTAAAATAAGTGGTCAAAACTACAAAAACTATACATAGTTAAATCTGATATAATTTATCTGGAATACACTTGGCCATCATTCACGGCGGTGGAATATTGTAAAATCAATACGACTACAAAATAAAACAATTTATTCGAAAATAGATCAAAAAATAGCATATAGACTATATTTAGTTGTACGAAAACGGTTTCTGAACTTGTTTGGAAGTCATTTGCGCTTCTTAGTGAATTGTAATTAAGAATAATCTTCATCAACTTTATCGCTATTAATTACGTCCAAGGTTGGTTGGTAGATCGGTCAGACCAATCACAGAGAAGCTTGTTTGTTGACAGTTTTTTTTTCGACGAATTAAATTCCGCCTTGTATAAATGGTTCGACTCAACTGTAACTGTATTGTAACCCCGGTCTACCTATGTTACGTTGAAGCAAAAAAACTATTGTCATTACTCATCGCGATAAAGTATCGACAATATGCAATCATATAAAAAGTCGAAAAAAAACCATGTGCACTCTGAAATGTGCAAGGACGACAGACGATAAAAAAATATTTTCTTATATGTATTCTGTCTGTACCTGCCTACCAACTTCTTACAAGATAAAATTCACGAAAAGAATTCATTTATTACGTAACTCACCATCACTTGTTGGTTGTACTCGGTGATGTTAGTCTCATAGTCCCAAGACGCACTAATGGCGGTTGAGTAAATGATCTCTGCATTGGGGTTGTACGTATTATTCAACCAGAGCACGGCCTTAGATTCGTCTGCAACCGACCCAGCGGGTGCACCGCAGTCTATTTGCGCACGCACAGCGACCAGGGCTGCGCTGAAAAGCAGTAGATAACGCATGATGGTGAACTATTGATGACTCGGCGTGGCTGTAACGTTTTATAGTGGACCAAATTGATAACTGAAAACACGCCTTCTTGATAACCACCTGCCGATTCACTCAGTGTTTTTTCCAGATCGCGATTCGTATTAATTTATCAACTTGATAACTGATATTTCTCATCGTTCTGGTGCATTTAAGGTCACTGGAACCAATGTAACTTCAAGCGTTAGCGTAACACCTGTTTACGTTTTGCGCGCGTGCGCAGTTACTGGTTGGCAAGAACCGGTCGTTCGCATCCGAAGATAAAACGGCGTTCAACACTGTTTCTGTCATTAAAATACATGTATGTGTCCATTTTAATAAAACTTATGGACAATGTTGTCACAGCAGATCGCGAGCAAGTGTTGACCCGTGAGCGACATTTGTTATCGTATATTTGCAAGATGGTTCGCAAAAACGTAAACATGTGACGTCACAACGCGTGTACATTGTTTGGAACAGAACTTGCATGTGTGGAACTTACATGTGTGTCGGTGATTAGTTTCTTGATATAAATATCAGGTCAAATAACGTTTTATTTTTAATAATGAATGTCAATCACTGAAATAGTCACAGTTTAAAACGGGAGGGTCGTCCCCTGCGCACGCGCGGAAATTGACGATAACAACACCTCGCTAAAACGCAAAGGTTCATGGGTGGACGCTTTCTTGTAAACAATGACACGCCATGGCCATCTGGCGCATGCGCAGGTGACGACTCCCCCGCTTTAATGAAAGGTGAAGGTTGAAATTTATTTATATGCAAATGTGTTTACGGGTAGGATACAGGTTCAAGTTTTGCCCGCAATGTATGCATTATCACATATTCATCAGTACACATCAGAATAATAAAACTGAATGATTCATTTACGCTCCCGAGTGTATACTTGTTTTTCTGTTCCGTTAAAATTTCAACTTTGTCGCAACCTTGTTATCGGATATCCGAATAGTGTAGCGGAGCGGCACGTTCCATGTGAAGTGTTGTTTACGTTTTGAGTGTGTTTATTACACCTGTATCTTAGTTCAAACGGCCAAACTGATGCGAAATTGTCAGTGATAACCGAAATTATTCCAAAATATTTCGCATATTAATATTCATGTTCTTAAAAAATGTGTTTCTTCTTTTTCTTTTGCGAAAAAAAATACCTATTAACGTAATAAATAGCTGCCCATGCCAAGTGTATCGGTACGGTTTCAACCATCTTCGAATCTTCTTGTAAGATTATGTCTGATTGGCCAGCCAACCCAAACACCAAACGGTCTGACCAATTGGAGAACAGCTTATTTGTTGATAGTTTTTGTTTCGACGTGTATTTGCACGTATATATATATACACATCGACTCAGCTGCCATTGATTTCCGCCATCTTGTCCACTCTACATTTTACCATAATGTTAATAACCTAAGAAATACATCGCGGATGCTGTCCATTTCCATACAATCGCTTGTGCGTTTTTCATAGCTTTGATAGTAAAACTCATACAGTCTTTTCGGGGTTATACTATTCACATTGATTGCTACGGGTCAAATGCTGTATACTGGCGTGCACATACGCACGTTTCTCTTTGTGGTTATCGCGAATTATAATTTGGCTACTCAGATGTCTAGATAGACCTGTCATGTCCATATGTCAGGGTTCCCATTGGTAACCATTTTGACTTAACCATTTCTGAAAAGGGTGTGGTTCAGACATTTAATTAACGATATCTTGAAAACTGCAATAATAGTACATAATATACTGCACACGCATACTGAACACATTAAATATCCGTACTTGACACAAGCCGTGAGGTCACAGTTGTAGGGTCGTATGTAAGGATATGACATTGAACCTTACGCTGCAGCTACCTACAGTCCCACAGTACCGAACAATTTTGAAAACTGGTAGCGAGTACGTTTCACACACACACGCCTGAGATAACGAGTCGAAAACACAATGACAATATTGCTTATTTGCAAATGGCCGCCAAGGTCCCGTTGAGAGCGAGATAGCCACGGGAGACCCCCCCCCCCGTATATAGTGTACCATTCTCTAATGTCGTCGCGTCCGCTGTTCTCTTGACCTTTATAACCATGGTATTTGGAGTAGTTGACGCGATGACGACAGAGAATGGAATACTATTAGTGCGAGGGGCAAAAAAAAAGTCACGCGGCTCTCTCGCTTTCAACGTGATCTCGGCGGCCAATGAGGTTTTGACTAGATATTACGTATTTGGCTTTTGTCTGAGATCTAGTTTATGAATGATAAACAGGCAGGACGCAATTTGTAGCACAGTAATTACAGTAGGTTAGAGAAAAAAAAAAGATATCCCACAAAAGTTGTAAAGGGGGACTGGTTCTGTGGAGAGGATACTGTAGAATATTAGGGTAAGGACTTTGTCCTGCAGAGCCGGGACTGTCTCTATCTGTTGATGATGATATCAGATTTATTATAAATGACAACATGAAATAACGTCAACAGATTTGATTTGATTTGATTTGATTTGGCAGATAAACGTACATTAATGAGTTTTAAGGCGGGGAAGCCGTCACTTTCGCATGCGTCAGATGGCCATAGCCTGTTGTTGTTTACAAACAAGCGTCTGTCCATGAGCCTTTGCGTTTTTAGCATCCGTTGTTATCGTCGCTTGGGATTCAATTCACACGCATGCGCAGATGACGACCCCTACACGTTAAATACTTAGCCACGACTGCAAATTTATGTTTAAAAATGGTCTATAATTACACTTTCCAAACAAATTCAATCAGACTTTATTAGCTCAAACGATATTTATTTTAAAATTATTATCAAACGAAGTCGACAAAACTATACAAAACTACATTCGTAAGTTAATGGCAGTATGTAGGTACAGCCGGAACGCAGCTGAGCGATTTGACCGTTATTTCGCGCGATTATTAGATTGGAAGAGCGCCACCAACGGCACGAAAGCATGTTTGTATAGTATAAGAGAAAGTGATGTGGTAATTTCCCGCGGCATTTTCTTTTTGTGTTTTTTTAGAATCTCGGGGAAAATATTACAATTTAAAGTGGTGAACTAATATGCAGGTCTCAAAATGTAACGAATTTTCATTGATTTTAGTACAAAAATATACTAATAAAGTGAAATATTATGCAATACACAGTGACCCCTCTTGTTAAACTTTCAAAATAAAATCTAAAATTGGCATTTTCATTTTCTGTTTTCACTAAAAAAAATATGACTAAAATCATAATCTAAAATAAAAATATTAGTGCTACAGTCAGCGGGCATTGCAATTTCGACCTTTGCAGTGATGTACGTGACACTTTCTCTCTATCTGACGTTTTTACCCCAGCAACGACATAGCATGACTTGTTTGACGAGCGGACTCAGAATTGCACAGTGTTTGACTGTCTTTTCGCCGAATTTAATATAAACCTTTAACCAAAGAGAGCAGTATTTGCTTATTACCAATCGTATTTTGGTGTTTTGAGGTCACGTTTAGGGTTCAGTTCCGGGGATTTTAGTTAGTTCGTCCTCATCTCTGGGTTAACGTACCCGACGTACATGGCATACGTTTATTTTCTTGATCCCAAGTTCCCCTTTTTGGAATTTCTTGTTATGAGTATATTATAACCGTTAAAATTCCAGTAAAACACATGCTATCACAATTTTGAGTGCCACATCTTCCAGGTTTAGTATTTGAAAATTGTTTTCTGGAAAAAAATCCGCCCGTTACAGTCAGTGTTCAAGCTAAAAGCTTATTTGTTTGTCTAAAGGTTATTAAGGTGAAAGACTGAAGTAGCATACTTGAACGTGATTAATTTTTCTTCTGAATTGGGCTTCTTAATGACTTGTGTACACAAATTAAAATATATATAAATATAAAATTCATCCTATTCCTTATAAACTAGAGGGTTGTTTCGATTTACATTTATTTATTTTATTTAACTTTTTTTATTATCTATTGTGTATTTGTCTATTAGTCTATGTTTTTGTAATCGTATTTCTGTTCGTAATATAAGTTGTCCCGTGTATTTCCACATGCATCCCGTATCTGGGAGGCATAGTTCCCTGAAGGGCTGTGGTCGTCGCGCTGCGCATGTGCGACATTTGTGTTGATAAACATTGATTTTCCCACATCCCAATAAGCTCTTCAAAACGTGACTTGCACTAATGACCACCGGTTACTATTTCGATACTTTCCAATGATCTAAAAAATACAAAATTAAAGCTTGGTAACGTCTCCGCTTGTACTCGTTGATCTGTAGTCAAAGTCGCCATTTTTGTTTATATGAGACCGTATATCTCGCGCATGCGTGGCACGACGACTACTGTTCTTTAACGGAAACAATTGATAGAGTTGGGAACGTTTCATTGAATGAAATTAAACACATGTATGTTTCCACGTATTGTTTTAAAGGACACTGACTGTTTACTAAGCAAAGATCAGTTGAACAATACGCAGCTGAGAGCTTTATCGATCTGACGAGCTTGGAGTTTATACAAGAAATTATGACACGGGGTCAAATAGTTATTCAATCAAATCCACGCATCAAGTCAACGTGGCATTCATATATGGAGGCGATAAAATTTCAGCTTTTCATATCTCTTTAATGTGGTAGTTTGGTACCATTGAAACAAATGTTCGTTTTCCCTTTGCGTTTACACTACGGTTTAATTTAAAGTGGGAGGGTCGCCACCTGCGCACGCGCGGGAATTGAGTTCAAAAGGACGCTAAATCGCAGAGGCTCATGGGTAGACGCTTGTTTGTAAACAATGACACGCTATGGCCATTTGACGCATGCGCAGGTAACGACTCACCCGCTTTAATGTCATTGTTCACAAAACCCAGATAAAAATATACTAGTATGGTTACAGAACAACTTTTCGCAAAGGTCACACATCAATGAAAATGTTCATTTTGGGCCAAATACCATTGATTCCCGTAGTGAAAAGTTTTTCAACATCTATCAAGTGTCATTTTGTTGCTTATGGTGGGAACACTATCTGTAGTTA